TTTACAAACAGCTATGCTGGCAGGCTCGCAAGGAGAAAAAACCATTAGTGGTACTTTTACTGTGTCCCAATGCAAGTTTACACGGAAAATTAAACGAAGCTACATTGAGGTTTGCATGTACATTGTATAGTATTATAGTATTTGCTATTTTAATCAGATTTTTTATTGCAAACTAATACACCTTAGTTTAATTTTAAATCAATGTCATGATTTGTCCAAATTTTTCCATGCCACTTTCTAATAAATTTGCAGTTGGGGAGGGGAGGAAAGATGTTTTTGGAGGACTGCTAAAGGAAACAGAAATTCACTTTATTTCACTTTATCCAAGTCACCATACCACTTAACATAAATCCACAAGTTAGCTGTTACAAGTCCATTATCTGGACTATATTCGGACTGTTATTAGACATTAAACTATATCCTGTTTGGATACTTGGATGAAGATGTAAATTTTGGTCTAATAGACTATCATGTGCATCAATATGAATTGAAGAAGATTTTCCTCGAGAAAAAAATATTTGGCTATGACTTCATGAGGAAGATTTAAAGAAAGTTATGTACTGTTTATAATGTACCTTTTAACACTAACTCAGATGTTATTAATTTCTAAAGGGTTTTTCAGAGGGTACTTGAACAATGCAAAGAAGGTTGGCTCTTTTGGACTGCTGAAACAACTTCTAAAGATGGCCAAAAAGGTTGGTTAAACTTAAACATGCATGGTTTTCATGAAATTTCCTAAAACCCTTTTAACAGTTCCATAGTAAGTTCTGTTTGTTACACTACCTTTTACCCTGCCCTACTAATTTCACTTTGTTTTTTTAAATAAACAGCACTCAAATTATATGGAAACCAAGCAAATGATGTGGACCAGTTGATATTTTTAACTCCATCAGCTGGACAAAATCGAAAGGTGACAGCATTTTTGACATTGAAATCACCATCATTTTGTTACCTGATAAATAATTCTCTTCATTTTTTAAAGAATAACAGCTTCATCTGTAACCCTATTGTTTATTTCTTAATCAATTCCAGCATCAGATATCGAGGATGATGAGTGGCCATCCCACTCAACAACCAGCATATGTGAGCGAGCAACCTTTCTCATTGAATTGCTTGCATTAGAAAGGTACACAGATTGTTTTCTCGATTTGATACAACACTTAACAGTATTCAACAAACACTCCATATCTTAACAACACTTATTTCACTTATAATTTAAAAGAAAAATTTGGTGTAAATTTTTCTATGAAGAGTAAAACTTGCAAGATGGCGAGCAGAGAGGCAGGAACAAGAGAGCCAGCTTGCCAAGTGTGTGATAACTAACTGGCCATTGGATAGAGTGAGTATTCAGACGACAGATGATACCAGACAATTAAGACAAACATTAATTTTTATGTAGTGGAGTTAAAACACATTGAAATATATAATATATTAAGTATGCTATACTTTAAAAAATAATATAAACTCAAATACTGACTGCTTGAATCAACACTGTATGTAACAGGTGCGATCACCTGGACTCATTAAAGTATCTTTCAATGGAATGTAAGTGATGCCTTCAAATAAGCAATGTTCTTTTCCGGCAGAACTTGATTCTCTCTGGTTTTATTCACACGTCCAACTTCTTCAAATTACCACAGTGTTAACCTATCCAAACTCCGCCATGACATTTTTATTCTACGAGGGGCTCTGGGAGCAAGAGTACCAGTCTTTCTCGGTTTCTTGGTTGTCGTCCGACTCTGTACCAGTCCTTTAAGTTTTGGGTGATACAAGCTCAATGTATTTTTTTGTTACTTTTAAAGTTTATGTTCGATTAGATTAAACAACTGTTTTCAAGCTCGATGAAAAGCAATCAAGTCGATAAAAAGTAAATGAGTCGACAAAAAGTATTCGAGCTGGATGTAAAAGTAATTGAGCTGGATGTAATTGCATCGTGCACTAATTAGGTTTTCGTACTCAACCTGATTTTATCGTGGTCGGTTGCCCAGAAAAGAAAAATTGATCCGCGGAGGCTGGTGGAAAATTGATAGAAGCTTTTCTACTCTTCCTGAAATTGATGAGGATAGGAGTGCATCTATTGGAATCTGCTCTATTTTTGAGGATGACATTATTAGCCTTGATATTATTGTGCAGGAAACCTCTTGAATGGACATGCTTTAATGCAGAGCAAATCTCAACAAAGATATCAAGGCATTCTGAAGATGTGATAACATTTGAGATCGCAGCATGATGAAGGGTGCCACTTATGCCATTTATACCATGGAACTGTGTGACGAGACAAAGTGGCTCTTGTGTAGTGACGACACCTACAATCACAGGTGGTCTTTCATGGTCACCAAGTGCAGTAATCACCTCTGCCTCGTGCATTAAATCAATCCCTTTTTGCCCTCAGCTTGTCCTCTGCAGTACTGCTGTAAATCATCCTCTTTACGACTACGTCAATTCCCCTGTAACGGGCATGATAGCACTGACCGTAGCTTCCACTGCCAATACTTTCTTGATTCAGATAATTAATATGTTCAGGATTTAGTTCTTTTAGTTCTCATTTCATCTCCTTCACAACAAGCCGTTTCTTGACTTTAGGTATTGAGGGCCTTGACAGACCAGGCAATAGTTGTTGTGTTTGAACGTGTGATACACCCTTGTCAGCCTTGTGTGGACTGTGTCGGGTTTCGGGTCGTTTGAACTGAGAGATACTATTCACCGATTTTTTCTGGGACTTTCCTTGAGCCAGGTGCAACATCAACACACTTCTCGAGTGCCAGGATTCCGTTTTTCCTGGAACTTTTTTCGTATTATTCAGTTCCGTGTTGACCATGGGTGAAATAATTCGATTCAGTACAATTCGAGAGGATGAAGCTGCCTTCGACTGAGCAACTACAGGCGTTTCCTCGTTGTCATTTGGAATCACATGATCNGGAGCTGTTAGTAAGTCTTTTTGTCAAGATTTTTCTTTCGCATCTTCTCTCATCTACAACAAGGCCTGGAAACTTGATTTTCATGGATGGACACATTGCATGGAACTGCTGCTAAATGTAACATAAAATATTAGATATTGAGCTTTGCTACTTTCAGGGAACCCACCTGATGGTGCAAAAGTAAATCAACAAACCTTACCATCAAGCATGTACAAATTGTAGCTCTAATTTTGTTTGGTCTTTTCAGTTTATTTTAGGACCGTTGTGTACAGTTTACTGTTTCCTATTTTTGAATGATTCATTTGTTCATTTTTTAATGCATTTGATCACGCTATTGAGTGAGGCTACTTAAAGTAAACAATGCCATACGTTGTTTAAGTACATCACCTTAATTTTTTAAGTAGCTCTAAGGCTTGGCCTTAGATCTTTAGATAGAAAAGTATTTAATAGGTGTATCTGATTTAAGATTTCTTTGAAGAACTAGTTGTCTTTCATAAAATTTAATTACTTGTTTGTCGATGGAAGGGATTTCATCAATTTAATAGCGACTTGTTTGTGGAGTTAAAGGATTTTATAAATTTAAGAGCCACCCTCCTAATGATCAACTATGATCATCTGGACGAGAAAAAATCAAATTCTTCAAACTTTCTCAGATGAATTGTCCACATAAGTGATTCACAAAAACTTTCAGTTCAATTCGATCGGTGTTTTAGCACTAGGGCGACAATCTTGGTTTTGCCCCTCTGAGAGGGCTTTCAGTGGCCATTTTAGGGCACATTTTTAACAATTTGCCACACAAAGAAAATGTTCTCAATCCGTGCAAAATTCCTTTATTCGAGACAAGCAAATATTTCTTGTTACGTTGAGAGGCTGTTTTGGCAGTTTCATCAACATCTGATTTTTTTTACAGAATTTTAAATTTCTTTGCCTTCGAACTACTCATGAAGTGCCATAAAAAAGGCAAAATTTAGACAAAAATATCGCCAAAAGTACATCACTTGAGATCCGAAAACCACCCTCCACTTAAAGAGCACTGTCTCCCCTGTAAAAATATGCAATAAAATTTTGGGGCAGTTGAAACTGTAAAATGTTAGAAGAAGTTTAAACTGTACTTTTGTCAACAAATACCGCCGTCCTAATTAGGATAATGACGTGAAAATAACGATGCACAAAGAAAAAAAAATGATATATTCCACCTTGCGACATGTTGACAACTGGGTGTTCCATGATACCTCATGTTATATTATCAGTAGGTTTCAGCTGCATTTTCGATGATTAACACTGTATGAAATCACTCTGAGACATCACAACGGTAAAGCAGATTTCAACTCTTCGAAGTCCACGTCATAACATCTATCTATATCAATGGGCACTTCTAACAGGACAAGAAATTGAAAAAAATGACCATTAAAAAAGATAAAAAATGGACATTAATAAGACAGTGATTTTTTCTTAAGTGACGAAATAAATGTTTCAAAAGTGAACCTTTCTAAAATACAAACATATTTAATTTAACATTGACTACTGTGTAATCGGTAAATTTTAATTTTTTTCTATGCATATTTGCCTAACTTTGGGGAAATAGGAGTGAACTTCTTATACTGCAAAAATGTATTTTTACATTTATACTTGTTTTGTAATTGTTGTAATTGTTGTAATCGCTTGAGCGAATAAAAAAAGTAACATTTAATATCATAAGATTGTTAGAAGTCCTATTTTTGTTGTGTTCTTGAACATACTAGTGGAAAAGTGAAACAGTCCAAACAGGTGTGAGAATGCCGTTGTGACAGAGTTTATAACTGTCATAAGCCTGTTTTACAATTGGCAAGGAAACCGATCCTGCATATTTGGGTTGTGTTGAAGCGTAATCAGTGATATCATTGTGCTTATCACTGCATCTTTGCGGGTATACAAGATCAAGTCATGTCCACATCAAAATGGCTGTGACTAAAAGGACGGGGACTTGGCGACTGGGACATGGGACTTGGGACTCAGGGATGTGGGGACTGGGGAATGCGGAGACGTGGGGAGGTGGGGACGTGGGGACGTCAGGACTCGGGAACGTGCGGGGATTTGAGGACGTGGGACATAGGGACTGGAGGACGTGATAAACAAACAACACCTGAGTTTTGCGCTGAATTTGTAAAATACAATTCTCAGCAGTAGAGTGAAAGGAAATATATGCTGGAGAGTTTGTCAGCAGACTAGCAGCTAATGATTTCCAGTGTCCATGGTGCAGCCTTGCCCATTTTACTGTGAGAGCTCTGGGTACAGAATAGTTTCAACACAGGGGGTCTTAATCGTGGTGGGCAGCCATGGAGGACTTTCCTGGTAAGTAACTGTGTTTTCTTGTCAATCCTTGGACATCCGTACCATATCCTTCCTAATTTTGATGGTAATGAATACTTCAGGAAAACCCTTCTTCAAAAAATGTATATTTCTTCCATTTTCATTCCTAAAATCTGAAGGTGCAGATACTTCTCGTAATGATGTCGACCTGGAAAGTGAGTGAGAACCGAAGGAAAGTACATGTCAAGAACCTGAAGAAAGGTACAAATATTACTCATTTAGATTTCGATAGGAAGTGAAATGGATCATTGTTACAAGTAATTTAAGCATTATTGAGTATGATGTGCACTATTTGTTTACGAATGTAATTAATCTATGATCTTAACACAGAAGTTATTTGTTTATTCTTGCTTGAATCGAAACCAACATGTATGTTTTTCAGGGTACTAATCTCAAAAGTTTTAAAACAACAACATTTAATCCCTAAGATAAGTTGTGCATGCCAGGTAAAAACATATACCAATTTTCAACTTAAACCTGAATTTTTACTAAGAATGTTGAGTTCTGTCTATTTACCTAAACACTATTTGTAACCTTAATTCGGAGTGAATAGAGCTAGAAATTAAGCATGACGTTATTCATTTTCCGCCAACGGTAAAAATTCCACTTTTGCCGTCTGGCGTTTGTAAACGAAAATCAGTAGCTTGGTCCTTGTCGTGAAAGTTTCATTTTCTCCCTACTTTTCAGAGAGAGTTAATGAAGAATTTAACGACAAAGTAACAAAATCATCGTGAAACATCGTGCTTGATTCCTAATATCGGTCACTGTTGGCAATGCGTGAATCAACAGGAAAAAGTCACATGATGTGATATAGAAATGATAAATGTAACCAAAATGGCATTTATACCACTTTCGTATCAGTAACGATAGTAGTCCTAAATTTTAGGTGGCCGAGCAAGGACCATTTGACTAGGTAGTCCCGTGTCTTTAAAGCTAGCTAGGGTCCAGACCCACTACATAATAAGACTACCTTTCTTATTATATAGAGGGGTGTTGTTCAAGACACAACGAAAATAAAAGGTGTTTCGCCATTAACATATCAAGAGCGCGGCCCAAACCTGTGAGTGCCACACCCAAAGTTAATACCGTTTAAATGCGGCTTAAAACATAACTTACAACTTAACTACAACATATGACATAAACTGAACATGAAGGTTAAATTTCAGAACAAGTGAAAGAAACATTTCACTAGCTTGCCATATTTAGAAATGTCAACAAATATACTATTAGTGACTGGTGTTTGATCTTGAGCTGCGACCAAGGTGATGGCGTTGTTGTATAGGACGCCACGGATGGAGCACGCAGCACCTAAATGATAATAATTCAGCCTATATAGCAATGTAGAGGTAATAGGATGTCTTGAACGTCTAATATTACAGAATCTCTCATTGTTCACCTCAGTGGATAATATAGCAAATAACAAATGCACAATTAGTGTATAGTTATGAAAACGGATTATCAGACCTGGCAGAAGATGGGTAATTTGGTTGTGGGGAGTGGCCTTCATTGCCAGTGGTTTACCTTGACAGGTTCAAAAGATATCAAGAGGACCCCAAGTGAATGCGAACATATAGCTTGTGCTGGAGACCTAACTGCAATTATTCCTTGTGTGTTATTTTCAGGTAATGTCTCTATGTTATCAATGATTTAGCTTATTTCACCATACAGACATGGAATACACTGGATATTAATTTTCTGCCGAAATGTTCAGCTGGTGATACAGAAAATCTTTGTGCACATTGGTCAGGCATTCCCTGACAATGGGATTGATTTGTGATTAGGAACCGTTAAAACTAACGCTATCGGCACTGTTTCCCTTTCTGACACAAGCTAAATTTACATGAAAATAAACACCCTGTTCCTTCCCTATTCTCAGAATTCCTGTTTTGTCTTTCCATGGACGACACTTTCTGTGTGTAATAGCAATATCATCTGGGAAAGGAAAAAGGCCACCATCTGCCATGCGTGGGAACTGTCTGCCACATCCAGTGCAAGTTGTTACGCAGGAATGATCGGAAAGAAAGACGAGAGAATGGATTGACACTTTTGCCACTAACTTCATGTTGTCCATTTCTTCGAACAATTGTCAGTTTCACGGGTTGTTGGACTTCCACGGTACTTTGCAGCCTGTCCACGTGTTCAGTTACAAAGCTTTCTGCCCTCCTTGCCTTTTCCTTTCTTCCGTTGGTGAGGCTTTTTTCCAGCATTGCCAACGTCAAGACTGTAAGTGGACATTTTGATTACATTTGTCTCCATAGCATTTTCTTGTGCCACTGTAGAAGACTGCAAAGCTTACCCTTGTGTTCCGTGGCTGCCAAAATATGAGCACAGAGACTTGAGTGGTTGTAAGCTGGACACATAGCATCACAACTGAATTTACCATTCTTGTATTCCGTCACCACATGTGGTTTTGGCGATGTTTCCGATGCTACCAGTACGGTGTTGTCGTGTTGGAAGCCTTCTGTAACTCTTTTCATTTGCAGCAGCCTCCATGGTTTGGCAAACTGATTGGACAAAATGCTCTTTGGGATGCCAGTAATGCCAGACTGTT